TTGCTCGCGGCAGCACCAGCTCTGTCGCGCCCGCTGCCGCCGCCCTCGGCCAACACGGTCGCGCCGGGTCTACCCGGTGTCCCTCTCGCCGTCGCCAGCGCGCGCAGAACCGGAACCGCCGACGAAACCGCCTATAGGTGTGCTACGCGCCGAGGCACCGTCGGGCCGGCCACCAGCCGTCGCCGCCACCACACTCGCTGCCCTCGGCTCCGCCGCCCTTGTGCGAGCTGCATCGCTGACATATTAAGCTACGTGTGAGTCACTCTCCGCCCTCGGCGCGACTAGTCAGCAGTAGCGAGTCCCGAGCGGGTCCGAATTCACTCGGCGACCGGTAAACTAGCGACGGTGTCACTTTTCAAAGACGTACGTAACACGCGGACCGCCTCCCCCACCGTGCGATTGCCTTCAGTGGCCGCCAGACGTCCGGACCGCTCGCTTCTTGTGTGCAGCAGGGATTGCTGGCGAATGCCGCAAGTGGCTTTGGTGCTCGCGAGCACCCTCGCATACCCTTTCTTCGGCCTAGGGCCAAGCCTCCGGTCCCGTGCCGCCCACATGTTGCCCGACTTGGATGCCTGAGGCACGGCTGTGGCCGGTAGTGCACGAAAAACGAGAAAACAATTTTCGATGAGCGTCGCCGCCAGCTCGCTCCTGGCGGCCCGACTGTGGCCGGCTATCCGCGAGAGTCGACTCCTGGGCGTGTTCCGTGGTCCCGCGCCCGGATTCCGGCCCAGGAGGCTCTCGAGCGGCACACTGGTGACCCGCTGCTCGACGCTCTCGTTCAAGCGTCCACCGGACACAACGCCGCTCGTAGGCCGCCACGACCAGGCTGGTCGGCATCTGAGTTGAGGCCTGCACCAAGCTGCATGAGCGCATCGGCCGTGGCCGCAGCAGGTCCACCAGACGGGCGTCAAAGCTTGCCGTCGGCGTGCTGTCGTGGGAGAGCCCGAGACAGCTGCAGAGGAGCCGAGTGCAGTGGCGAGCCAGGGGCGGCCTGGGTCACAAAGTGGCGGTCCTTGCCCACTCTGAGCAGGACTGTGCTTTGGTGGGGTTGTGCTTGAGCGTGTGTGAAGTGGGAGTGCGTGCCGGCGGTGTCTGTGAGCTCGTAATGTGCGTGCGAGGGCCGTGTGTAGGGTGTTACGAGCCGGTGTGAGCTTGAAGACCCGAGACAAGTGCGGTTTGGGACACCTCAGGCCTGATACTGATGGGGCTGGGCCAGGAGAGCGACAGAGAAGGCGAGGTGGTGAGCTGAGAGGCTGGAGCGTCCGCGTGTGACCTTGTCGCGGTGAAGGTGCCAAAAAGCGCGTTGTTTGCGGCTCTTGCTCAAAACTGTGGGAGAGAAGGCCTACATATTATAACTGCATGCATATATTTGGTGCATGAGGGCTGCGGGACGAGACATATCACGGTCGGTGGCGCCGGTAATGACCTCCGTAATGCCCTCGCAATTGCCTCGGATGGGGTCCACCGAGGACAATCTCGAGCCCTCTCCGTGGCATCACGAGCCGGTGTGAGCTTGCAGACCCGAGACAAGTGCGGTTTTAGACACCTCAGGCCTGATACTGATGGGACTGGGCCAGGAGAGCGACAGAGAAGGCGAGGTGGTGAGCTGAGAGGCTGGAGCGTCCGCGTGTGACCTTGTCGCGGTGAAGGTGCCAAAAAGCGTTGTTTGCGGCTCTTGCTCAAAACTGTGGGAGAGAAGGCCTACATATTATAACTGCATGCATATATTTGGTGCATGAGGGCTGCGGGACGAGACATATCGGGGTCGGTGGCGCCGGTAATGACCTCCGTAATGCCCTCGCAATTGCCTCGGATGGGGTCCACCGAGGACAATCTCGAGCCCTCTCCGTGGCATCACGAGCCGGTGTGAGCTTGGAGACCCGAGACAAGTGCGGTTTGGGACACCTCAGGCCTGATACTGATGGGACTGGGCCAGGAGAGCGACAGAGAAGGCGAGGTGGTGAGCTGAGAGGCTGGAGCGTCCGCGTGTGACCTTGTCGCGGTGAAGGTGCCAAAAAGCGTTGTTTGCGGCTCTTGCTCAAAACTGTGGGAGAGAAGGCCTACATATTATAACTGCATGCATATATTTGGTGCATGAGGGCTGCGGGACGAGACATATCGGGGTCGGTGGCGCCGGTAATGACCTCCGTAATGCCCTCGCAATTGCCTCGGATGGGGTCCACCGAGGACAATCTCGAGCCCTCTCCGTGGCATCACGAGCCGGTGTGAGCTTGGAGACCCGAGACAAGTGCGGTTTGGGACACCTCAGGCCTGATACTGATGGGACTGGGCCAGGAGAGCGACAGAGAAGGCGAGGTGGTGAGCTGAGAGGCTGGAGCGTCCGCGTGTGACCTTGTCGCGGTGAAGGTGCCAAAAAGCGTTGTTTGCGGCTCTTGCTCAAAACTGTGGGAGAGAAGGCCTACATATTATGACTGCACCCATGGCCCTGGTGCATGAGGGCTGCGGGACGAGACATATCACGTTCGGTGGCGCCGGTAATGACCTCCGTAACGCCCTCGCAATTGCCTCGGATGGGGTCCACCGAGGACAATCTCGAGCCCTCTCCGTGGCATCACGAGCCGGTGTGAGCTTGGAGACCCGAGACAAGTGCGGTTTTGGACACCTCAGGCCTGATACTGATGGGACTGGGCCAGGAGAGCGACAGAGAAGGCGAGGTGGTGAGCTGAGAGCATGAAACAACGCTTTTTGGCACCTTCACCGCGACAAGGTCACACGCGGACGCTCCAGCCTCTCAGCTCACCACCTCGCCTTCTCTGTCGCTCTCCTGGCCCAGCCCCATCAGTATCAGGCCTGAGGTGTCCCAAACCGCACTTGTCTCGGGTCTTCAAGCTCACACCGGCTCGTAACACCCTACACACGGCCCTCGCACGCACATTACGAGCTCACAGACACCGCCGGCACGCACTCCCACTTCACACACGCTCAAGCACAACCCCACCAAAGCACAGTCCTGCTCAGAGTGGGCAAGGACCGCCACTTTGTGACCCAGGCCGCCCCTGGCTCGCCACTGCACTCGGCTCCTCTGCAGCTGTCTCGGGCTCTCCCACGACAGCACGCCGACGGCAAGCTTTGACGCCCGTCTGGTGGACCTGCTGCGGCCACGGCCGATGCGCTCATGCAGCTTGGTGCAGGCCTCAACTCAGATGCCGACCAGCCTGGTCGTGGCGGCCTACGAGCGGCGTTGTGTCCGGTCGACGCTTGAACGAGAGCGTCGAGCAGCGGGTCACCAGTGTGCCGCTCGAGAGCCTCCTGGGCCGGAATCCGGGCGCGGGACCACGGAACACGCCCAGGAGTCGACTCTCGCGGATAGCCGGCCACAGTCGGGCCGCCAGGAGCGAGCTGGCGGCGACGCTCAAAAAGGCCTCCATCGCGGGCGGAGGGGAAAAATCTTTGCCGATGGGGTCTATTAAGGTAGCTGCAAACCCTTCGCGCGAAACAGCGAGTGGCCAGATTGGTCGCGCCGCGAGCATATAGCCCGCCGTCTCATGGCCGCCCGAGACAACGCGCGAGCTCCACCCATCACGACAATCATAGCCGGCGGTCGGGAGATGCATCTCATCAGCGGGAGCCAGCTGGACGACCCGCATGTTGCCCGGCACATTGCCGGCGAGGCGTCGGACGGGGAACATCCGATTGGCGGCGGCTGGAGGGGCGGGCAGCATCTCGGGCGAGGCGGCGGCGGGAGCGAGTGACGCGGCCTCTTCCAGCTCACTGGGCAGCCTTCCCGCAGAGGCGGCGAAAGCGGCTGCGGAAGGCGACGAGGCGGCGCTGCTGGCGTGGCTGGACAGCGGCGGGCAAACCTGCGGGCGACACCACGACGAGGAAGGGGATCGTTGACGCAATGTCCTTCGGTTGCATCCCGGTCATTTTCCCTCCTATGGACAAGCTGTGGCTTTGGCACGTAGGAGGAGATTGGAGCGCCTTCGCGGTTGTGCTCGACACGCCCCGCAACCGTAGTGCGGTTCCCGGGATCTTTGACACGCTCGCACGCATCCCACCCGAGGTGGTTTCGAGGAAACGGGAAAGGCTAGCAGTCGTCTCGAAAAGACTTGCCCTGGGTCTCCCCAGGGAGCTACCAAAGGATCATGATGATTGGCTGACGACCATCCTGAAGGCGGTTTTCGTTGGCGAGGGCTAGGGGAGAGATAGGCGTGCGCTGGAGGGCGTTTAGCTCATGCCTCATGTACCGTGACTGTGCGTTATATTTTTAGTCCTCGCGGTGGCTCAGTCTTTTCTTGGTTTGTTTGTTCCAGCACGCGTGCCAGTCCGCGCCTGTGTTGAGCCCTGCGTCTGCTGAGAGAGAGAGAAGAGAAGAGAGAGAGAGAAGAGAGAGAGAGAGAGAGAGAGAGAGAGAGAGAGAGAGAGAGAGAGAGAGAGAGAGAGAGAGAGAGAGAGAGAGAGAGAGAGAGAGAGTTATTTATCCACAGCCTTCGATCTTAGTTACCCCCTCCGTCTCGGTGGCAAAATGCCTTGGCGCGGCCCCCCCGGACGCCGGAGCCCGGTCCCGGTGCCGGTCCCGACGCGACGGCGACAGCCCCGACACGCGCGCTGTGACCTGTGTCCTGTGAGGTGTGCGTGAGGTGTGAGGTGTGTGTGCTCAACGCCAAGAAAGAATTTTACATGTCGTGCAAGAAAGAACTTTGGGTCTTTGCGCGCACCACTTCATGACATATTTATAACACAGAGACACACGCATCAATCCTCAATCAACAAAACAGAGATACCCCTATAAGCTCTTCGCCCCGCATGCGCAGTCTTGTGCCGTCGTAAGCGCCGAGCGGGCCTCCGCATACCAGCGCCAACTCACATATGGCGCGCTGCTAGTGGGCGCGCGTTCATGCACCGACCCTCTCGAGCCCGCCGCCTCCCCCGCGTGTGCGGCCATGGTGCGGCTCATCGCGGCGGCCTGCAGCAGCCCCCACCCCCCCCCCTCCCCTGAAGTGGCCAATAATGACGGCTCCCGGCCGGCTCCGGCCGCCTCACCCCGGGCCGGGGCTGGAAGCCTCGCGCCCCCACTCCTCGTCGTAGACTCGCCTGTTCACAGCTAGAGGTGTGAAGAGACGCTGTTCACACCGCAGGCCCCCACTCCTCGTCGTAGACTCGCCTGTTCACAGCTAGAGGTGTGAAGAGACGCTGTTCACACCGCAGGCCCCCACTCCTCATCGTAGACTCGCCTGTTCACAGCTAGAGGTGTGAAGAGACGCTGTTCACACCGCAGGCCCCCACTCCTCGTCGTAGACTCGCCTGTTCACAGCTGGAGGTGTGAAGAGACGCTGTTCACACCGCGGGCCTCCGGGAGAGTTGCATCATGCGCACGTGGCACTCGCGCCACAAGCCGGCGAGCGCAAACACCTGCCGCATCCGCGCCTCGAGGAGCTGAATGAGGCGCTGCTGGTGCCTGCGGGTTCGGGTACCGTGGGGGTAGGGGTTGGGTTGGATACCGTGGGGGTAGGGGGGCGAGCCGTTGCCGGTGCCTGCCGATTGCCCGCGTAAAGGACTTTGACTGCGCGGCGACACCCTCGGCCGTCATCTCTTCGAGGCCGAAGTCGATGCGCTGCAGGATGGAGGCGAGCTCCTTGGGGAGGGGGGGGGGGGAGGAGTAGAGAGAGGGAGTAGTAGTGAGTAGTGCGTGAGTGTGCGTGCGTGCGTGTGTGTGTGTGTGTGTGTGTGTGTGTGTGTGTGTGTGTGTGTGTGTGTGTGTGTGTGTGTGTGTGTGTGTGTGCGCGTGTGCGTGCGTGCGTGCGTGCGTGTGTGCGTGCGCGTGTGTGAGCAGGACGGAGGCGAGCGCCTTCTTGCGGCCGATCGTGCCCCACTGGTACATCGCCCAGCCTGGTGGGAGATATGGGAGATGTGGGGAGATGTGGGGAGATCGTGCCCCACTGGTACATCGCCCCAGGCCTTGGTGCGCGGCGAAGACGAGGCGGAATGCGGCGACCTGACGAGATATGGGGAGATATGGCGAGATGTGGCGAGATGCGGCGAGATATGCGACCTGACCAGACAGCACGCCGGCGAGGGTCGAGCCGAGTCTAGCCGAGCCTCTAGCCGAGCCTCTAGCCGAGCCTCTAGCCGAGCCTCTAGCCGAGCCTCTAGCCGAGCCTCTGGCCGAGCCTCTAGCCGAGCCTCTAGCCGAGCCTCTAGCCGAGCCTCTAGCCGAGCCTCTAGCCGACGTCTAGCCGAGCCTCTGGCCGAGCCTCTAGCCGAGCCTCTAGCCGAGCCTCTAGCCGAGCCTCTAGCCGAGCCTCTAGCCGACGTCTAGCCGAGCCTCTGGCCGAGCCTCTAGCCGACGTCTAGCCGAGCCTCTAGCCGAGCCTCTAGCCGAGCCTCTAGCCGAGCCTCTAGCCGAGCCTCTAGCCGAGCCTCTAGCCGAGCCTCTAGCCGAGCCTCTAGCCGAGCCTCTAGCCGAGCCTCTAGCCGAGCCTCTAGCCGAGGGGAGCCGAGGCACTAGCCAAGACAGAGGGCGGCAGCCTCCGCCGGCGAGATCAAGTTCTCTCCCCCCCTCCCCCCCCCTCCCCCCCCCTCTCCCCCCCTCTCTCCCCCTCTCTCCCCCTCTCTCCCCCTCTCTCGCGACCTCTCCCCACCTCTCCCCACCTCTCCCCACCTCTCCCCACCTCTCCCCACCTCTCCCCACCTCTCCCCCTCTCTCACCTCTGCCGGCGAGAGAAAGTCGCGGCAGATGAAGAGACCGCAGATGTCAGCCACCTCGTGCTCCACACGCCAAGTGCCTAGAGAGAAGAAGAAAGACGCCGCCTCGAACAAAGAAAGACAGCGCCGCCTCGTGCTCGGCCCGCCAAGTGCCTAGAGAGAAGAAGAACGACGCGCCTCGAACAAAGAAAGACAGCGCCGCCTCGTGCTCCGCCCCGCCAAGTGCCTAGAGAGAAGAAGAAAGACGCCGCCTCGAGCAAAGAAAGACAGCGCCGCCTCGTGCTCGGCCCGCCAAGTGCCTAGAGAGAAGAAGAACGACGCCGCCTCGAACAAAGAAAGACAGCGCCGCCTCGTGCTCGGCCCTCCAGGCGCCGGAGCAGCGCCAGACGGCCTCGAGCCGGTCCATCGACTGCGCCAGTGGGCCGTACCCGGCGGCGCGGGCGGATGGCAGGTCGGCGGGAAGCATCCGCTGCAGCGACGAGCGCGGTTCCCGCACCGCGGACGAGGGGGGCGAGTGCGCCGCCTGCGGGAGCGGGGAGGTGTGGGGAGATGTGGGGAGGTGTGGGGAGATAGAGGAGAGGGGGCGAGTGCGCCGGCTGCAGGAGCGAAGAGGCGCCGCATTGGAAGGTGGTGCGTCGCAACGGGAGGGAGGAACAGGCGTGGCGAGGTATCGGGTGATCTCGGGTGATCTCGGGTGATCTCGAGTGATCTCGGGTGATCTCGGGTGATCTCGGGTGATCTCGGGTGATCTCGGGTGATCTCGGGTGGTCGAGGGTGGTCGAGGGTGGTGGAGGGTGGTGGAGGGTGGTGGAGGGTGGTGGAGGGTGGTGGAGGGTGGGCGAGGGTGGTCGAGGGTGGTCAAGGGTGGGCGTGCGCCGCCTGCAGGAGCGGCTTGTCCAGCAGAGGCCGCAGCGCGTCGAGGCCGGCCTCATACCTGCAGTCAGCCAGTCAGTCGCTGGGACACACGGTCCTAGTACGGACGACGGGGCACACGCACTCGCGGAGCAGACACACGGGGTGTTGCACACCAGGGCGGTTGTGTGCGTTCTCAGGGAAAGGCATCACCGCAGACAAAACTGCAATAGCCAGAGGGGCAGCCGGGGGGGGAGCATGCCTGAGCCCGTCCTCAAACTGGAGCAGCACGCGGGCCTGCGCCGCGCCGCCCTGCACAGTGGCGCAGTAGAAGCGGCCGTCCACCCACTCTGCTAGCACCGCCATGCCGCGCCGCACCCGCTCGCCATCCGCCGGAGCGGCCAGCGCCGCGTGTCGCTCGGCAACCCACTCGGGCGCGAGGCCCTTCTCATTGGACCCGGTCGCCGCCTCCTCCCACCACTGCACGAGAAGCTGGCTGTTGCGGTCGCGCTGCTGCACGACGCCGCGCTCGTACTCACGGCCGCGCCGAGCGATGACCTCACACCCGATGAGCTTCTCGCATTTTGTGCACCTCCAGGGCCCCGGTTCGGCGGGATATGCGGCAGCGGCGCGGCGCTCCCCGCACCCGCCGCTGCAGTCGGCCTCGTCGCGCTCCTGGGCCTCTTCGCGTGCCCGCTTCTGGGGAGGGAGCGTCTTGGGTGTCATTGGAACCAGATCTGATGGCAGGGGTTGGCTCTGGCTGTCACAGCAGTTTTTCTTTTTAGGAGGTTGAACGAATTTCTTTTTTAAAGCTGAGCGCTCCTCCCTAGAAGACAGTATCATGACACGCACATAACATCCCGTTCGCTCACACACACGACAGCCTGCGGCGAACACGCTCGCTGTGACATCCGCGGTTAGATGGCGATCTCCGTAATGTCGTCTGCATGACTCAAGCGCGGTGGCGGCGACCCTCAGAGCCCCTGCCGCCCCGGTCCCCGAACCCTCGCCTTGGGACGCCTGTAAGCCGCCCGCGGTTATGCCGCCCTTGCCACACGCGACCGCGGCTCGGAGATGTGCGACGAGCTCCACCACGTCCTGGAGGAGACGCGGCAAGCAGCGCGTGAGATCGAGCCGCTGCTGGAGGCGGTGACGACAGACGTGGGCACCATTGAGTCCGCGTTGGTCAATGGCGGCTGCGATGTGCGTGCGCCTGGCTTGCTTTGGCGAGCTGCGAACGCAGCCGGTGCTGACACCAGATGGAACTGGCCAGACAGCGACAGCTGGCTGATCGACGAGGGCGCTGGCTACTCCCCCCCGACAGCAAACGAGATCCTGCCCTACTCCTTACTGAGCGTGCATGCCAAGGCTGTGGGCGCGGAGGCAGACAGACGCGAAAGACCGGACCCTTTGCGCGATGCCTCTAGTATTGCACCCCTGTAGGCCTTCATCAAGATGCGCGACCATGAGTACGCCATTTTCTACTCCCAGAGGTGAGCGACGCTCGCGTGGAGCCCTTCTCCCGTGTGCGACAACACAAGTGCCAGCGACAGCACACAACAACACAAGCGCCTGCTAATTTGCGCCGTCGCCCTGCACAGTCTCTTCAAGTTTGCTGCCGCGGTGGGCATCTCGCGACGGTTCGCCGCCAGCCGTGATTACCGACGCAGAGGCCACCACCCCCACCCCACCCCACCCCCACGCCCCCAGGTTCACCGACAAGACGCTCTCGGAGCTCAGCGGCTTCGGGGCGTCGACGGAAGAGGACCTCCTGCAAATAGCGTCACAGCCTGGCGAGACGAGGCTGACCCCCTACCTCGGGATCGGCCGCCTCTCGATTGGGGACAGGATCCGCCTTGGAGAGGAGACGTGCACAATCGCCAGCCTTGGGACGCCCGCTACAGAGAGAGACATGCTTGACTACACCACGCTCACTCTCCGGAGGCCGCTTCGCGAGCCGCACGCCGAAGGTACCCCGATCGTGCGCATCGGCAAGGCTGTGGCACTGCGCGCAGTGTGGGAGGACGGTGCTGGCGGCGCGCTGCGTCAGTTCAACGCGCCTCAGCCCATCTGGGTGCCGACACTGGGCCAACCGCGGTGGTTCCGGATGTCATGGCTCGGTTGCCGCTGCTCGTGGCCGTGCACGCAGCTCTGCTGGCTCTCGGCGTGCGCATGCGGAGCCTCACAGCAGCTGGCGGCCATCTGGTCGATCCTCACAATCGCTTTCGAGCTCATCCTCCTCGATGCGCTCGTGAGCCAGATGTTCATTCAAAACTGCCCGAATCGCATCACCGAGTGGGAAGATTATCTGATAGCGCCGATGCCGATCGCCCAGCGGGTGGCAGCCATCGCCACCTACACCGTGTTCCCCCTCATCGTGGTTGGCTATCTCGCGGGCACCTCCGCCAACAAGTTGGTCCTCACCTTCGCGGACGGCGTGGAAAAGGAGACCAACGCTGACCGTTCCGTCTACGCTATCCTCTACCAGGCCCGCATCGTACTTCGCTCGCTCGCCGCGCGCCGGGAGAGCGGGACGTACGCCTACTGCAGCACCATCTTCTACGCCATAGTTGTCGAGATCCACACCGTCGTTATCCCTGCGTACCTCATTTTCGTGGCGCCCGCCATTGTCATGTTCGCCTACGACGCCACGCTGCACCACATCGCCAAGTTCTACATCGTCTTCACCATCATCCAGGACTTCAACAGCAACGGGCTCTACTTCCTCACCTTTGCACTCTGCCTCTCTCCCGAGACCATCGCCGAGTCCACCCGGTTTGTCGCTGGTAAGCGCGCGCTCGAGCAGACGCGCAGCGTCAAGTACTTCTACACGTGGGTGCTGCTCTGCGGCATGTGGGCCATCGTCTTCTTGCTCAAGCTCTACTACACTATGCTCTTTCTCTGGCTTCTCCCCATATTTATCGTCATCTACGGCGTCGTCATTCATGCCTTCCCCTACTGCTTTTCCGGCATCACCGCTTGCCCGCCGCACACCGGGCCGGCGGTCGAGTTTGCGGGGATCCTCACGCTAGCCGTCTTTCTCGCCTGGTTCTGCTTTGCGCGCGCCTGCTTCCTCTTCCCTTGCCTCTGTGCGCCCGAGGTGCCCGGCTGGCTCTTCTTCCCGCCAAACGAGCCTCCCGACAGCCCGGTGCAGGGTGACGTCGACTCGAAGGCATTCCTTGTCCTGCTACATCACCTGCGACAAGGCTTGCCCGTCCCCGAGGACTGCGTCTGGGAGCCGCCCGGCTGGACGCCGATCACCGGGGCACGCCTGCCGCCCGAAGGGTCCAAGGGCTAAGGTCACAGGTCGTACTTTACAGTGAAGTGTGTGTCGTGTTGGGCCTAGCGATCCTGCCCCTCCACATGCCAGTACAAGGTTCTTGTGGTCGTACTACAGTTTAGGACGGCGTCGGACGCGTCTAGTAGAGAAGGGAGGGGGGAGCGGAAGGCTGGATTCGATTTCCAAGCGTCTATCAAACGCACAGGAGTCACGACGCAGACGCGCACACAACCCGTCCCCCTGCAGACCCCCTCTCGCGGCGCCAAGCTCCGCTCGGCCTCGACCGCGACGAAACCGATCGCGTCAACTGCTAGCATCCATGTACAAGTCTGCGACGCTATCCGCGAGCTGCAGAAGGACCGATCGAAACCGTGAGCCTGCACCCTCTTGCGTCGAGGCAAGAGGCAAGCACAGCACTTGCGGATCCGGAGAAGCTTTCCCTTCCACCTTTGCTCCCTTCTTTTGCGCCTGCTTCGGAGCTGTCGCCTTCTTGTTGCCGTCGTCAGGGGGGGTGAGGGTCGGGGTCTCATGCAGCGGCTTCAACCTCTCGAGCACCATACGAGGTCCTCCCTCCTTCTCGGGCTCCGTCTCGTATCGTAAGTCCTCCCAGGACCATTTGAGCGGAGCCCCTCGGAACGTGAGGCGTGACGTCGTGGCGATGGCAAATGGCACCTGACGGACCACAAGCTCGTCCTGCAAGTTGTCGAGGGCCGTGCTCACCGCCTCTCGGATAAGAGTTTTGCAACCCCAAGTTCCAGCCTCTCGCTTAAGCGAGTCTGCTGAGAGCAGAGCATCTAGTTCTTCCAATAGCCGAGCTCTCTCCGTCGATGGCTCGGCCACGGCTGCAGCAGCCTCGAGGGCTTCGATGGAGCCATTCCACTCACGCAACCCGACTGCTTCCGCAAAGCGTTCCAGAGAGGAGAACAGCTCCTTGGTAAACGTTACTGGCACCTCGTAGTTGAGCGAGCCGTCGGGCGCGACAATCTTGCCGCGGATGTACTTCCAGTCGTCGGCCTCGTCGTCTG